TCTATCTATCTATCTATCTATCTATCTATCTACCTACCTACCTACCTACCTACCTACCATCTAGCAAGCTAAAAAGCAAAAACAAAATGAGTATATTGTAAATGCACTACTAAAAATAGACTTCCAGCTGTGTTAAACATTTAAATGTATATAAAATAAGTACATTGCTTACAAAGCAGTGTTGATACTGATACGGTCAACTGTTTATATGTTCTAAAGGAAGATTTCATAAAAATGGGGTGTTCCAAGCAAAATGGCTTTTTGCAGCTGTTGCCCATAAGCTCAAAATAACTCAGCACATCTGGCAGCAACTACGGCTGTGCAAAGCAGCCCAGGGGGAGGGGGGGGAGGCTCAAAAGCAAGATGCCAGGGAAACTGCAACTTCCCACACATGTACTCCAGCAACTGATACTAAGGAGATTTACTTTGTCTGATACAGCTGGTAACCTGTAGCCGCCACTGATAACTCTGTGCGTGTGAGGCAGTGTGTGCATTCTCTCTTGAAAACGAGGAACCTCAAAAAAGAATGTATAAAAGAACCTGTAAGCAAGTCAGAATGAAATCTTTCTTTCAGTCATAGACCAGCATAAGGAGGGTGAGGTAGAGTCATTAAAAAAAGCCTAAAGGATACATCAAGAATAAAAATAAAAATCTTAAAAAAAAGTATTAAAGGTAGAAGATATAAAAGACATATAAAGTAAAAACTCAACATATAAAGAAAAAAGAATCTAAAAGAAGGGGTAGGAGCATTAAATGGTTGTAGGGGAGCATAAAAGTTTAATATGTGGAAGACTAGATCTGTCAAGGAGCAAAGCACTTTAATATGGTGAACTAGCTGCTCAATAAATCTAGTTTATAGCACAGGCCATCATCCGACAAGTGCCGTGCAGAACCCTGAAACATTGTACATTGAGGCAGGGTTGGTATCTGAAACCCACAGGGTAGTGTAAAATTGTCCTGTGCACCCAGGGTACGAATTCTTGCAAGCAAGAATCCTTTATAAAAAAATCCCTTTTCACATTACATTTTTAAAAACATAAATGAAATGCTGTACAGTTCTGCATGCAGGAGAGCCGCTAAATTACCTTAATCTGGCGAATAAAAAAGAAAATCAGTTTCAACATCAAATGTAAATTTAGGAGTCCATCTGCAGCTCATATGACACGTTGCATCAGCCTCTATGCAAACAACCTTTCAGAGGGATTCCTGGAGTGAACTCAAGGTTACGTTTCTATCTTCTGGGAGGTGCTGCAAGGAACTGGCTTCAAAGGTAGTCCTTGGGAAACTTGATGTTCTGGTGGCATTCGGTACCTGACCTTTTTCCAGAAGGAACTATTTGCAGAAGAAGAGTGTTTGTTTGTGATGTCCCCTTTCCATCTGATAGCGCCCTGCTTTTGTCTGATGTATCTGATGGATTCAGGCATGTGGCTGTAATCCTTTATTTTATTCATTTCAATCAGGATAGTTTTCATTCCATCGGGTATGAGGGCATGATACACTGCTATATGCTGCTCAGGAGCCTCTTCTGAGCCAGACAACTCAGGTCCTAGAATCATGATTAGCCTTCTGCTTTGCTTAATGGTCTCATCCACAACACTGACTAACGCTATAAATAACAAGAGATAAAGATTCCATCAGTTTTTAACACCCACAAATTGATTACCTTGTTTTGGATACACATGGATTCTAAATGACACAATAATGGGCCAGAAACAATCTTAGAATTAAGATCATTAATATATGCAAGCAAATGATACTGGTGCTTGAAATACAGCCTTCTTAAAAAATTGAACATCACTTAAATAGTGAATGCTTTCAAAGTCTTATCGGATAAAGGCCGAACTAGATAATATAAACATGAACGCATCTCACACCTCTCGTTATGTAATCCAGCAGTAGGCACCATAAGATAGGTGTTCCTGCTGTTTAACAGATGTTCTTTATCCTTGTGGTGATCAACAAAACATTAAAAAAAAAAATGGAAAGCAAAGGCACCAAACAAAAAATAAAATCCTGCATAGTTTGGATACACACATACTTGGCCCACTTGTGTCCTCAATCCCAGCTGCAGATTTCCTTGGGGGGAGTCATAAGAAGTGGCCTTTTTAATTCCTCACAGTGCCTTCAATAGAGCACTGATTTGAGAAATTAAAATGATGTGGTGGAGCTGCAGATACAGAAGGACCAAGAGAGGGCATTTCATTGATATTTCCTTTACTCAGATACCCACATACACATTTATTACAAAGGAAAGACAGCTGCATTAGCAATTCACCCATAATTTAGTTTAGCATCTAGCTACACAGTTAAGAGCAGATAATTTTATTACGTTACATTGGACTCCCCTGTAAAAATGACTTACAATTCATACCCAAAATTATTTCTCAGTTGTAAGCTAAATGTTTTCATACTACTTTTCAAATACTAGCTGAATAAAACTGGAATAAAAATTCTTGCAGATCTTAATTATAGGGACTTTCTAATGTTACTTACGTTATAAAGAAAGAGATAAGAATCCCAAGAGCTCTTTTTTATGTTTTTAATTTGATCATTACTTGTCTATGTTTTTATTGCTTTATATATGTCTATTTTGCAGGTCACAATGATTACTGAATAATTGTATAAACAAATAAAATTTGCCCATTATTCTAGTAGCAGCAATGCTCCTTTTTTAATGGATGCTTAACACACACACCCTCCAAATTTGAAAAAGGAACAACTGCCTTTGTTTTCATATGACCTAAAATGCTGTATGAATTGAGGAGGAATTTAAGATTTTGAAATATATAAATAACTAAATGGAAACTAAATAGAAAAAATGCCCTTATGATTTGTGGTTTTGATGATTAGGAAAAAAACCTGGATAATAGAAAAAGGTGAGTTTTTTTGTAAACAGAGAGTGAGAAATAATTTTTTAATTGTACTTATATTTGATCCAAAGGAAATTGGAAGC